ACAGCCCACATGTGTGCTGTAAACTGTAAACGAGGAGCGCTGCATTCGTCTGCTTTGATAGTTTTTATCTTTCATCTTTGTTTTTTGCTTTTTTGCCTTTGAAGCTGATACGATTTTCACTTCTTTCTGCAGCAGACGACTGTTTATAGGGGTCACCTCCATCATCAGCTACACTTCCATCTTCTTCTTTTCCAGCTCCATCACAGTAATCCTTGAAACTTGGTTTGGATTCAGATGGATTTCTCTCCTCAGCTCTGCTTCTCCGTCTTTGACCTGTTTCTGGTTGTATCTGCCTCTGTGACAGAAAAGACTTTTCTGTCCTTTTTGGGACTCTCAAGAACAAATCTTCACACTCGGTGATCACTCCATCACCATCATCGACCGAGTTAAAATCAATAGTATTCTGTTTGTCATCTGCACACTGTTGTTACAGCTGAAGGCCTGTTTGACATCACTGTGTTGGTGGCCCTCTCCTATTATTACCTACACAGAGTGTTGTCTCTGTTTAATATAATGCTGATGCACATGCCAAACTAAAGAGATGGACGCCACAGCATCACTAAATCAGAACAGTAACTAACACAGACAGGAAAGCTGAAGGCAGACGGTCCGATGATGGGAAAAGACTGGACTGCGAAATGAGGCATTTTAATGTTAAACCCACACAGCAGCAGGGGTGGATCCACAGTTAGGCAACAGAGGTGATGCAGAAGTTATAGAATAGAACATGTAAAACAAAACAGTTGGCGAGCTCCACACAGAAGTAAAGAAAATATATCTGTAGATGTATTACATTATATAGTAGCAAACAGAGGGGAATACACAGTCTAGAGCGAGTGGAGAGAAAAGTGCTTGGAAGCAGTGCAAAGGGTCTTGGTCTGCGTATAGAGTCCATGTGTGAGTGTACTGAGTGATGAGTCAGACCACGGCTCAGATTGGTGAGGGGGCGTAGGAGTTAACAGTCCGAACGCCCCAGGGGAAGAGGTCTGGAGGTGTGGGACGGGGTGGTGGGGAGGGGGGTAAGGGGTCATCTGTGATGGCCCTGGTTTACCTGAGACAGGAACTTGTTCTTCATGTTAATAACTGGCCTTCTGGTGTGGATGGACCATCTCTTGGCATACCTTCTTCAGGTCATATGATGGTGTTTGTCTCTGCCCTCTGAAGACCCTCAAGTTTTTTTCAGGCCAATCAAATCCTCAGGAAGCCAGAGAAGCGCCAGAGCGTCCAAATCACAGGATCGGTTTTAAATGGCGAAGCAGCAAGACACACCCTCGCCGAGTATCTGTTTCAACTTGAATGGACTTCAAATTATGCACCAGTTTTTAAATTGTGTTGATAGACCAAGTAAAACCAGAGTTTCCCTCAGTACTGTGTCCATGTTTGCTACAGGAAGGAAAGGTTGAAAAAACAAGACTTTTTAAAGAGAAGATGCTTCCGAGCAAAAACATGACACACTCTTTCTGTTGGCTGAAAAATGCAGCAAACCAAAAAATGATATGGCAACACCTGGCCTTTGGTTGCTTAGTAATAGAGGAAAGTTGTGTGTGTGATGCCAAATTCAAGCACAGATACTCATAGCGAGCTGTGAGATGTGAGAGATAAGCAGAGTGCAGCATAGTTGTTCTGTGTCACCATCATCACATCATTATAAGTGAACTAGGCCGACTTCACACATGCCATTGCTATATGTTCATTTACATCCAGAGCTGGACGTTCCAGTGTAGAAATCCCACAGTCAGAACACGGATGCATCGGGAAGCCTGCACATTAAACTTTATTGTGACTCCTGTGAGAACAGCTACACTCATCGTGCTATTGGAGTTGAAAGAATGACAGAGAATCAGAATCAGAAAGACTTTATTTATCCCCAAGGGGCAATTAACATACAACAAACCAGCATAGCGTTGACGATAAGGACAATAAGAACAGGCAATAAGAGTGAGATACCAAATACAAAGAATATACAGTATATACAGTTTTAAAATTACACAGTTTAAAATTAAAGTGAGCGACACGAGACCAAAGAAGCAGTTAATCCTACACCTGGTCCTGTTCAGCCAGACTTGTTGTTTCCTTGAATCTCTCAGAGGACGATTTAATGGGACCACAAAGTTAAAATGGACCAGGTGAACCACAGCGACCCTCTAATGTACTTTAAAGTCTGCACAGGTTTCCCTGGATCTAAGACGGTCGTTGGACGTTATTGTACAATAAGGTTATTCTTCTCGTTAACACGTCTTTCCTCATCCTGCCTCTGTCTCGCTCCATCTGTCTGTCTCTCTGTTGGGAATCACAACCATGTAGCATCAAATTGAAAACATCCATTAGCGTGGAGCCACATCAGAGTGGAGGGATCGGTGGATGGAGGGGTGGAGGGCACATGTGCCGTTGTTTGGAAAGGTATCTCATGTCAGCAGACGATGATTTATTTAGCAGAGAAGAAGTAGAAGAAGAAGAAGAAGAGGAGGGATGAAATTATTTGCGTGTGAAAGAGCAGTGATGGAAATCAGCGGAGAGGAAGAAGAAAAAGAAGAAGATAAGGAGATAAGGAGACAGGATGAGGTGATTGTTGGGGAAAGGATAGAATTACACAGTTTGGGATTATCTGCACTCAGCCTCACCTGGTTTACAGGTGAGAGACAGGTGAGGCACCAGGTGAGTCAGGAGACAAACCTCTTGTGCAGGAATTCAACTGTTCCTCAGCAGAGATACGTTCAGCACAGGTTACTGTAACTTATCAATAACAAGTATTGATTAGAACACCATTGAACTACCTGAAAGCGCCAAACCTCCTGATTTCAAAGGTTTTTTCGGCACCATACAGGAGGAAAAACCTCAGGCTGCAAAATTTCATGTTTCCTGCCTGTCTCCATCAATCATCATCTGATTATTGAGCCATAAAGTCTGCAAAGATGTTCAGGCAGCTGCTTTTCAGCATCTCAGTCCAACTGATGACAGTGACAGAGCAAACATGGCTGCTGGCGGGTGCAGATATTTGGTTTATTCAGGGTTAGGGGCAGAGAGGAGAAGTATCACCCAGAGTGTGTGTGTGTGTGTGTGTGTGTGTGTGTGAGCATTTGGATGAGTATTGTCAGACTCGGCACCTTCACATAAATATATCACAGGTGAGGATGATGAAGATCGTGGCCGAGTGTCTGCTTGAAGAAGATCCCGCCTGTGGAAACATTGTTTGCTCACCTGGTGCTTAAGGTGCAGAAAATCCTCTTATATTTATATCTTTACATTTTAACGTTCAACTCTCTTTGATGTGAAAATCATCATCGTCATCCTACTGGAGAATAGTTTTAACCTCTGTGTACAGCATTGTGATGTGAGTGTTTTCTTTTAGGTTGTTGGACAGAAACAGAGTTTTGATATCTCAGTTTCAGATTTGTTATGGAGTAATCTGCAGGATTGTACTGTGAGTGTGTGCCAGGATCAGACTGGGTGGCTCCGCCGCCTGCCAGCCTCTGAACATAATCATCCACTGATGGATGTTAGCGTACACTGAAGGCAGGTAACGAGTGAGCTGAGGAATGAGCGATCGTAATGGATCGTAGTGAAAGAGAGGAAGACGAGGCGGTCGAAGAGCGTCTGCGAGGACATGAAGGTTCACCCTGAGGACAGCTCAGTGAGTCCTGTCCCGACATGCTCTTGTCAAAACAACATTTATTACTCAGACCGAAACCCGCAGATGTCCAAACAGCAGCGCTTTGATCCTGTGCTGCAGGGTGCTCACTATGAGGCTCGGAGCCCACAAGGGGTCCTTCTGACAGTGGTCTCAGTGATGACTTCACATCCATGTTGCTGAATGAAGCTGGACTCACTAAAGGCCGCCTTCACCTGTGCACTAGGCTTACCTGTGACTCGGGAACACCTGTGGCAGTTTTAGATGTTAATTCGTCATCCTGTTAAACTCTAAATAAGCTCTGAGATCACTCAGAGAAAGAAAGTCCCACTAGCATTCAATATTAATATTCCTTAAAACATCTGCGAGCCTGAATTAGTGTGAACTGTACCGAGGACGAGCCGGCAGGCAGGTGTGAGTCGCTGTGTGACAGACGCTGATAACTTCATGTGTGACCTTGAACCGACTCTGGTACAGGTAGACCCCTGGTTGCCTAGGTAACCCTTCAATGTATTAACTACACACTCATGTCAGTCAACAGTATCCTTGTCTGGGTTATTTTGTCTGTTGTTGATGAAGGTTACTCACATTTGGTCTGTAGTCCACTCACTGCTTTACACTTTCTCAGCATCCATTTGAAAACACAGTTTTATTTATACGGTTTTAATTCTGCACAACAGTCCCTCTGAAGGTTTCTACTGCCATGTAAAGTCCCTGCAGCACCACAGCTGATTCACTCTGCCCTGTTTTATTTTATAGTTAGCACAGTCTCACACTAAAGCCATGGGAAACATTTTTATCTGTTTTTGAGGTCATATTTTAAACTAAACCACATTTGTCCAAACCTAACGAGGACTTTAGAAAGGGTAAAAAACAAAGCAGCATCATTTCCCCCATCAGACTCAAACTACAGTCACTGTGTGAGTGGCAAACCTTGGACACGAGTGAGCAGAAATCATGAACAACTGTCTTCAGATTGTGAAATGAGGGGCTGGTGCGTCTAACATTCACACACATTGATGGACCCGCTCTACCACCTGAGCTGCAGCCACACTATCAAAGAACCAGCAAAGAATACATCAAATGTTGACACTGTGATGAGATCTATTTTTTATACCGATAGATACTTTATTGATTCACAGGGGAAATCTAATAACTGATGATGTGTACTTATAGTCGATGTTGTGCACTTATAACTGATGATGTGTACTTATAGTCGATGTTGTGTGTTGCTGATTGAGAGCCTGCTCATTTAACCCCTGTCAGATCTTAAAGGGCCATCCCACCAGTTTGTTTCATACTGTTAAAGACATGAGTGTGGGTTTGACTTCAGAAAGAATCAAGAAACAGCAGAGTGTGAAGATCAGCTGCTTTAATGTGTCACTTCAACAGGTTCAGATCTCCTCAGTCAAACGTTGTTTGTTCTTCCAGGTTCAGGAAAAGGCAGTGGCTTTAACAGATAGAATAAATACTCCAAGTGCATCCAGGTCATTATGATTTCTGATTGCAGAGTGTTTAAAAGTCTCTCACATGAAAAACCTCAAGTGAAAGTCTTTTCAGACTTTTTAGTTCTACTTTATTTATGGATATACGTATGTTTGGATCCAGCTCTGCTTTCAGTCACATCTCAGGGTCTTCCTCGGCACACAGAGACACTTATAGTTCAGTTTTGATCTTTGACGTCGCCCCTTTGTTGCAGCCCTCTGTTTTCAGATGCTCACAGAAATTTGTTCCAGTGAAACTAATAAAATGTTCTTAAAAATATGAAACATGATTAAATGAGTTTTGAAATAAAGGAAATCCAGTCCAACAAACAGTGCGACGTGTGCGCTGGTTATTCAGTAATGAATCTCAGTCTGCTGATGGAGCCAAATGTTCTCATTCTGACGTGATGACTTCCTGTGCTCACTGCCAACTCCTCAGTTTAATTCTGTGACTCTATATCTTACATAGATGAGATGGGATCTATATAGGTGATACAATCTATGACTATCTCTGTGACATCAATGTGATGTCATATGATATTTAATGATACTTACAGATACAGAGTGTAAAAAACCCAGCAGTAAACCAAGTGTTCAGAGCAGTGAGCTTAGCTTTAGACTGTTAGGCTCCGTTATTTGAAACTTTGGCCAAAGTTGATATGAAGACTATCCATCGAAATACGAACGTGTGTTTTGTGGTGAAAACACAAAACCTTCAGCTCAAATATGCTGTACAGTTTGTTGTGCCTTGACTAGATTTTGGAGATTACCAAGTAATCAGCGTGTCAGCCTGTTTCAGGAAATATCAGAAAGTTGAAAGATAATAAATAATATACACAGTATTTTAATGATTTATGCTGTTTTTCTTTTGTGAGAAGCACCTAGAGGGTGAGCTCCAGGAACACCAGCCCAGTAACAGGATACTGGTTGCAAATATTCCCATTTGCCTGAGTGCTGTATTCGCAGTTCCTCCCCTGAACGTCTCCAGAGGTGATTCTCTGACGTCCGACGTGAAAAAGATCATCGTTTGATAAGTGAATTTTTCCAGAAAGTCTCTCAGGGAACAAAACCTGGATTCAGACTGATCCTCTTGGTACCTGAATGGTCCAGTGATACTAGCAGTCATAGGAAGTTTGCCTCTAGTTAGTGGGATGTTGCCATCTCTGTTGGCAGCAGCAGTACCTGCAGTAGTAGCGGCAGTGGTAACAGTGATGGATGTATTGCTCCCTCAGTAGTCGTCGTAGCGGTACGTGTTGGGGTACGAGTAGCGGTAGTCATAGCCGTCAGCCCGTTCAGTTTTGGTCTGAAGAGGCTCAGGCTGGAAAGATAGAGACTTGATGACTCCACCCGACTCTTCTGTCACCTTCACCTCGGTGGAATACGAGGATGAGGAGGGGTCGTCTAGTAAGGAGGAGCAGCCAGGAAGGCCAGCAGGTTTGGAGGGAGTGCAGGGCTGGTAAGAGGGCAGGCCGACAGAGGGTTTGGGACACGACTGGTAAGGAGGGAGGGCAGCAGGAGGCTTCGGACACGGTTGATAGGAGACCTGAGGAGGAACACAGGAGATGATAATGTGACAACGACATTATTTACAGGTGAAACAGATATTCAAGCTTCTATGTCAGCCAGTTGTTTTCAGTTTACAGTGAAATACACAAGGTCAACCATGTGCAGGTCCAACTACAATACACGTATCTCATACCTGACTGTTACGCATGTCTCCTGCAGGCTCTACAAGTTGAGACAAACCTCAGGTTTTGAGGGTTACTCACCTTGGTTGTCGTTGTGATGATGGTCTGCAGTGCTGCTGGTGAACCCGGGTTGTTGCTGGCATAACGGCAAGGGTACTCGGTGCTGTAGTAATGGTGGTTGTCACTGTAGGGGGCAGAGTTCTTCAGCAGTTCTTTCCATCCAGAAGGGGTCTTTGTCTGGGGGTCAAAGGAGGTGGAGGAGGAGGAGAGAGGAGCTGACGATGGAGACGAGGACGACGAGGAACCCAGGACTGGGGCCACTCTGCACAGAAACCAGAATCTGGTTTAAACCTGTGAAACTTTACATGTCATTTATGGTGCATTTTATTATTTTTACACTACCAGAAACTGTTTTGAGGAATATCTGAAGCTAACCTAGGGTCGCAAAGGTCAGAGGTCACAGGATATGAAGGTGAGGTCAGGTATCCTTGGAAGTCATATCCGGGCCTGCTCATATAAAGCCTGGGATTGGCTGGTTTCTGAAGTGTTGGTGTGCTCTCTCCCAGTGCATTGTGGGGGTTGTAGTAGGGTTCTGGGCTTTGGAATGCTGGGTAGTGCTGAGGGAAGTTTGGTTCAATGAAGGAAATCCTATCCGTTGGTTCAACGCAGGAGAGGAGCGCAGGGCCAAGAGCCTAAAGGGAAAAGGGAAACAGTAAGTAAACAGCAGAGATGTGAACAAACAGTCGTTATTGTTTCTGGCTTATTGGTAGCAACCTGTGTTTCAATGAGTCGTCTCTTTGGTGTGAATGGAGGTGAGTTGACTCGTCTCTTTACTGAACTCCTTCTGGCTTCAGTCTCTGATTTGGACTCTGGTCTGGGATGATCATGAACACCTTTTGCCTGGAGGACAATAATAGTAACATCAAATTCACAAAAATGTCATTTAGATAAATAGATACATAAATAAAAACACTGAATTTGATTTGTACCCTAATTTTGACAGCTGTAGTTTAAACCTGTTTAAAACTGTACCGAATAAAATATGATGAAAATCATCGTTTCATGATAAACAGAACAAAATTGACACATCAAAACTTAAATCTTTTTAAAGATGCAGCAATACATTTCAATAAGGTTGCAACAAAAGTTGTGCAATAAACACCTGATGGACCAGCAACTATAGATAATTCAACAGTTCAAACCGAACATTGTTAGCGTTAGCGTGATCCTATCCTTAATCCAAAGATTGATTTTTATCATTCTCAATCATCCAGGTAAGGAAATCCCAGAAAACATTAAACATTTCTCGCACTGAAAATGCAGATAAACACAATTAACGTTGTGATTCTATCATCAGTGTTTCATCATTTGACAAAAGATTTTGGAGAATCTGAAAAAACTTGTAGACACGAAAAGGCTGCAGTGTTCAGAGGGTTGACGAAGACCCGATGAAGCCCTTTGATAACTGCTTTATTCAAATATGTTGCAGTTAGTTTTAAACCAAACACCAAATGAGCAAATATTTCTTATTAGATATCATTTAAATATTTATTCATGTTTAAATATTTTAAATACAATTTTTTTTCACTGACATAGTGTTACAGCTAGAAAACCAGTTGTGCTGATAATCAAATTGGGGTGATCGTGGCTCAACAGTTG